TAGAACGTTAAGTTAATTCACTTGTTATTATTTTTGGCTAAATATGCTTTTAAATAAAGCATATTCTTAAATTTTAACGAGGCAGTTTAAATAATTTTGCAAATGGTACTGTACACTTTTGTGCAGTTCTCGCTCGATGAACGGTGGAGAAATGAGCTCCGCAGACAAATATGATTGAATTTGGAATTATGCTACGGCGCATCCTAATAAAGGGAAGGGGCATATCTCTAACTTCTTGAAACGAACAGTACTTCTCAATAATTAGTAATTTGGTATACAGTAGTGGCGAATTGAGAATCGAACATATAGTCGAAGAAACAAAGCACAAAACCTTCGAATTTTTGCGAAGTATATAAGTCGGATCGAGATGAAGTTTTCTTATTAGCGCGAGTGTCCACCCATCACTTCAGAGGTAAACCACCAATTCCGACGGTTCCCCCCCCCCCCCCAATGCGCCCCGTTTAACCATTTTCCCTTCTCAACCCTCTGCCCAATCCCAACCATCCACTCTCTTCCCGAGGATGAGTAACCCTCAGGGTTTATCACCCTACTCGAGGAGGGGTTTTAGTCGGTAAAAATCCGACACCACCTCCCTTCAGTTTTCTCTCCTCGAGAATAATTTAAACAAAAAAAAGCAGTTTTCTGCATTCAATTCCTGAGACCATCTACAAACTTTTTGAACATAAAAGATCAATTCATTTTCAAAAATGCATCGGTCTATGAGAAAAATGCTGTCTTATAAGTGCAAAAAAAAAATTGCAATCCAATCAATGATGGTAAAAATAGGGATGATGACTGATTTTCAAAAACTACTCCACGATGTTTGTAGGTGACTGCTTTATACAAAATAAATTTTATTTCCGAAAAGAATTCAGGTTTTTAAGGAAAAATTAGCGTTTTAAAGAACACGATTTAAACTTTACGCCAAAACGATAGAATAGTAATGGCGTCTATATGTGACGTCACCGTTTCGTAAACAGTTGACACGTTGCATGTTTACTTGCATTGAGATACATTAAATTAATTATACAATAAATAGTATTAAATTTATTAATTTGTTTTAATATCCCCATCTACTGATATTTACTGCTACCTGCGAACTATTTCCGTTTGACAAAAGCATTACGAAGGTATCTTACCTGTCAAACTGAATCTACGACACACCCTATATATCTAATAGGCACCTAAACCAAACGAACGTTAAGTTCATTCATCGAAACTAAAGAAGTTGATGCAATATCAATTATATTTATCACCATCAGAGATGTGATTTATTTCAA